GTGTGTGTGTGTGTGTGTGTGTGTGTGTGTGTGTGTGTGTGTGTGTGCGTGTGCGTGTGTGCGTGTGTATGTGAGTGTGTACACACACGTTCACGTGTGTGTGTGTGTGTGTGTATTTTCATATGTATCCAGGGTTCTTTCTGCGATATCCCGTGCCGTTAAATTATGGACAACATTGCGATACGTCTTGCAGTGAAAAGAAGGTATCCAACACTCCGATTCCATATTTTGAATTCGAACTTATTTCAAATTTTATTCACATGGACAAGTGATTTATAAATTACAATAATAAATCTACACAATTTCCCACTCTGAGTTGCATACACATATACATATATATTTGATTCTCACTATACATATGTACATATGATCTTTAATATACACATAGGCATTTAATCTTTACTATGCATATGCACATCATCCTTACCTGTTTCTATGTATCTTCGGTGTCATCCATTCCTGATTCATGATCACGTGCATCATGGGCAGGTATCCACAGTAGATCAACTCGGTCAAATAGTTCACGTCCACATTTGCAAACGGTGGTAAGGTGAAATCCCCTGGAAACGTATGTGCAATATAGTCCAGGGCGCTTCTTACCTTCATCTGTGTATTACCCTTGCTTGGAGGTAGCACACATGCATAGCCAAATCCATGCACAAATAAAATGCGATTGGAATCCTTGACGTCTGGATTCCTTATCTCTGATTCACTGAACTCTTCAATACCCTCTTCTTCTTCGTCACGAGTCTCTCCATCTGACATATCATCTACACCGGCAGCGCCAGAACCTACGGTAGGTCCGCAATCCATTGTATGCAAGTATGGGTATTGATACGTATGCTTATTGTTATGTATGCTTATTGATAAGTATGCTTATTGTTGTCCATGCTTATTTTCATCTATGCTTATTGTTATGTATGCTTATTGTTATGTATGCTTATTGTTATGTATGCTTATTGTTATGTATGCGTATTGATATGTATGCACAATGATGATATGTATAGGGAATGCTGATAAGTATGCCTATTGATATGTATGCATATCGTATGTAAATATGCGGATTATATGCCTATTGAACTGCTTCTGCTATTTTCTTAAAATATATGCACACTTCGCGGTATCGCAGTTCTTTGGTGATTTTCGGACTTCCTGGGTTATTTATTTAGATTTAGTATTTACATCGTAAAAGTAATAAAACTGAAACAACAGCCAAGACCATGGCTTTTGAGAGAAAAAAACAATACAAATACTTTTAGGGTTTACCAAGTTTAGATCAATGTTGGGTTGTTAACAATTTATTGAATTATACATGCAAATGTATGTTTCATCAACTTATAAATACGCGTTTATTTGTTTACAATATTTAACACCAAGAGGCTTTAGTTCGATGTTAAGTCAAATCAAAAGGCTTTAGTTCGATGTTAAGTCAAATTTTTATAACACGTGCAAGAGTATTAATGTCCTGATAAGTCTTACATGCTGATATGATTGATTCGCAATGCACTCATATGTCCAACAATTTTGTCACTGATTCATTTAAAAAATATGTTTAATGCATATACATATAGTTGCAGGATATTGTACTGATTTTACTGCCAAATCTCTAGTGGAGATAATGCAAATCATGTGCTATTTAAGCCAGCATATTGTTGCGGGAGTGCGGGAGGCAGTACACCTTTTTTTTCTCGATCTTCTCTCAGACTCGTTATTGAATACATACTACAATACATACATTCATATTGTGTCGGTTCTACAACCCATGTTGTACTCTAACACTGGTACCTGTTTGTCTGAGATTCTAGACTGCAACCTACTATCTCATTGGCTGACAAATGAGCTTTCTGTCAGATACTATGGATTTCTGGCGGTATTTCTCACATATTCCATAATATTTTATTAGTGGCCGGACCAAATTTGTTGCACCAATGTATTTCTGGAAAAGTCCACAAACGGTTGTACAGAATCTAAAGTGGAAATCAGTAAACAAGCAAATAATGAACACAGCACGAAAATATGTACAAAGTACGTCGCAGTTTGTTTGTGATTCAAAAGCACTCGTAGGTCAGCGACTAGGTGATACATTGGCTCCGTCACAGAGCAAGCTCAAACGACATGCAAACAAAAACTACAAGGATTTTCTGCAATACTGGCAACCAGACCATGATTGGGACACGTATGAGAATCAGATGAATATTCCGCATGAAACCACAATACAGATATTACCGCAGGATATATTCAAATATGGTAGAGAGAATCCTGGCCCTGATGATCACCCTACTCTACGTAGGGAGTCAGGACTAGGCTTTCTAAAGAAGTCTATCTCATACTATATGCCGCTCATCGCTAATGATTGGGATCCAGTTGATATGAAGGGGAATCCTACGAGATCAAAGGATGTGAATGACTTATTGAAAACAATTAAGAGGGCAGAGCTTAGGGGTGAGGGCAAGGCTGACGCTGCTAAACGTCTTATAGAGTACGATGAATTTCGTCAAATTCTTGCTATCAATTTAGAGAATAAGAATTTTCATAATAGTGGTCTGCATGCTCTTTGGACTTTGACATTTTAGCTTATATGTCGAGTGGATGATGTGACAAATATAAAATTTGAGGATTTGATGCCCAATGACGACAATCCGGAGCAGCTTTTTGTGACTCTAGTTCACAGTAAGAATCTCAGAGAGAAGGGTCAGGTAGCCACACAAGTCAAACTTGGCTCTATGAATTCTTACTTTTGCGCTCTTAGTGCACTGGCCGCTCACCTTGTAGAACGCATGCTAGAGAGAACTAACACGCATCAGTTGGATTTGGGAAATATGTGGACTTTGAATGGTACTGTGGGTTGGGATGACATGTTAAACCCGGATGTGGCTATGAGAGTGATTGCTAAAATTGTACGGCTAGATAATTTTGTGGCCAAGGGCAAAGTCGATGAAATTGGCACGCATAGTCTCAGAAGGTGCTCGTGCATATATGCTCAGAGACGTGGACGCTCAAAAGATGATGCAGAAGGTAGAGGTAGATGGTCCAGAACCAGAACAAAGGGTCAGAGAAAGAAGAAGTCAAATCGTCCGGTCGATAGATACTCCAGCCCTTTGATACCGTATCCTGATGCTAAAGTATCTGAGGCCTTATGTGGACCCCGAGGTGCTTGCAACTATAGGATCAACTCAAGTAAGCTTTAGATTAGTGTTGTGAATAAACTACGTGTATCTATATATGGCACACTTATTCGTAAGTATGTGTATACGTAAATTACAAATGTTACTATCATTATTCTTATACTGCAGACTTCAATCTTAACGATGAGGACTTAAAGTTGGTTATACCAGGTGTGTGGGACCTACCTGGCTTTCATATTCAGCACAAAAGAATGTCTTCTATTGTTGCACTGTATCTTGGTATAATTGAGTCCCCTTTAGTACCAGTAGAGTACCACAAATATTGAGACGATGTAGTAAGACATTTGTTTCCGGATGTAAGTGATAATAAGAGATTGGTGATTTTGCGACGACCTGCAGTTGTGATTCGTGCTGGAGATGATGGCTTCAGAGTCCAAGAAGTTGGAAGGTGCGGACCAGAACTTTAACAATGTTAATCTTAACAATCTCAACCTGCACGATATGCAGAACCAGATGATAGCTTTAGGCGCAGATATTACCCACTTGAAGCGTATGTTCGAGGATATGGAAATGAAAATCGATCAACATCACAGTGTGTTCAAGAACAATCACAGAAAGCTAAAGTAGGATATTATGGGCGAATTTAATAGACTACGACTTTCTGTACAAGCCCGTACGAATTTCCAGCATAACAATAATTCCGCAGTAAACGCTCGCCCAGCAGACGCCCAGGATGAAGCAGGTAGCAACATGCAGTTCAATGACATGCATGAGCCCCACGATTCTCGCGAATCCTGTTTTAACAAAGGAATCAGAACTCTGTGGCAACTATGGCAGGAGTATGACGCGGGACTTTATGGGAGCAAACCTGCCCGCTGCTTTACTGATAGTGAGCGAGGTAGAGTGAAGTGCCCTTATAGTTTGCGCCTATGTCTTGGTGGACTATGGAGAAGCTGATCGCCAGAGGTAATAGCGCTCAAATAGCTATAGAGAAAATTCAAGATGCGTAT